AGAGTGAATGTAATTTTCTTTGGCAGATAAGGCGACTCCTAAATAGCTATTTGGCCTCATATTGAGCTCAATTGCCAGCAATCAATGTCTTTTACTTAAGTAATAATGTCTCACATAATTATATACTATACTACAGTCACACCATATCACTGACTGTCACTTTTCATACCATTACAATAGAGTTGCCAATAGAGACAACACATCACATCATAAATGAATGCAAGTGTTTGTGTGGATAGAGAGTCAGTCAGTGAGTAAAAAACAATTAATTTTAAATTACAACTAATTATGCACTAAAAAATCAATTTATAAATAATAATAATAATTGTAATAATAACAGAACGGCACTGGTAGTAATAAGCATCGTTGTCTATACTTTATCAGTGAATTTTGTTTTCATTAAGCAATTTTTATAAAATTAATTTTTTTATTCAAATACGATATGCTTATATGCTGTGAGCATAAAAAACAAATGAATAGAAAATATACATTTATATTAATTAATTAAATGAAAAAAATTGAATAAATTAGACAAAAATGTGTAATTAAGTGTAAATGAATTTATGTTAATATAGCACATATCTTATTTAACGATTATAATATGTTATATAATTTTTATGTAGATAAAGTTGAATTGTGTTTAAACTAAAAAATTATTATCACAAATTTTATAATAACAAATGAACAGTTTATAAATTCATATGCATTATTTATTTAGCTATTAAATTATTAAATTTGCAATTATATATACAGTATATATTGTATAAAGTGTATATTATAATATAAAGTTAAATTAGATTAAAAAATTAAGTTACATATTTGGTTAAACAATATTTATTTTGTATGTTTTAATCACTTTTAAACAGTGATTAAAGTGAAACACTCAGTATTTATTAGAGTTTTTGTTAAGAAATTGTTCGCTATTTCTTGGAAACGATCATTGATTTGAAGTGAAAACTACTTTTCAGTTGATATAAGTTTAGAGAAGTATACCTTTTATTAGGTACCTCTCAGTCTATAGTATACATAGCAGTTGCCTTATATACACCCGAAGCGATACCAATAATTTTAAACTGTTTTCAAGTGGTTTCTGCCTCCTTAAGGGTAGACAAAAATAGAGATAAGGGGCAGTTGTGATACCTAACTATCGCAATGAAAGCGCCGTTTTGAGTGTCGATGCAATTTTAAAGGCAACACAAGGCGTGACCAATGGTTACTCTTTTTGACGGACAATAACCGCACTAACAAAAAGTCAAATAAATTAACAAATGCTAAGATCTCTGCTTACTGTCGCTTAATTAGACACAAACACACAAAACTTGCGATCATTGCATAGATTGACAATGAAAACTACATAAGCCATTAAAAAGGTCTATGAGTTAGAGGCCCGACTACTGATCAAGACCTGTAACGAGAGGGTCCTCAGCATTGAGTGCAACCTATGATCACTTTACGAGTAGTTATTAAAGGCTCTCTTTCTTTATATATTTATCTTAAGAAAACATAATACGAAAGTAATTGAAGCGACAAAAAAGTGTATCTTAAAAGAGACTCACAGTTTGTATGTATCAATGTATGTATATATATGACAGACCAGACCTTAATTATAGCGTAAAGAGAGCTACGATTTTGTCAGCCAAAGACATTAAATGCCTGAACACAACACATAATAATGCAGTTTTGAATGTTTCAACCAAAACTAATCGTGAATTAGCCCTAAAGGTGTGCGCAAACAAAAATATATATCAATCTATAAAAAAAACTTCAACTATTTTTTCATCTGTTTTTTACTTTTTGATGGAAATTTGTTTATATATACATTATATATATATATTTGAAAGTCATTTAAATAGTTTATTTATTTATAGATTATGATTCTTACACCGCTTTTTTCTTCACATTACTAAATACTTAACAAAATTGTTTTAATGAAATCAAATTATTCACTCACTTGTCATGAGATACATGACATTGATTGCAAACAATGTAAGTAAGAATTGCTATTTGAAAAAAATATCGGTTCTCAACATACAAACAACAAATTAAAACTAGAATTTATTTTAAATATACAATATATTTATCATATATACTGTACAACATTTATAATTATAATTTATGTATTATACAATACTTTTTATTTATTTTCAATAAATCATATAATACTCTAAACAATTGTTTAAAAATACAAAAACAAAATTAACTTAAAAATAAGTAAAAATATTGTAATTAAAAATAACGGACACAAAGTCAAAGTCAAATCCAATATAAAATGTTTTTTCATTATTATAAACTATAATAAAAGTTTCGCAAATTTTTTTTATTTTGTTTTACAATATATTAATAATTTATATACAGTTAAATAGTTTTATCAATTGATATCAATAGTATTGAAATAAAATTCTATTTTACAATATATTTATAGTACTCTTAAAATCATATGAAAAAGCAAGAGTTAATCACATGACCAGTCAATCAGTCAAATAGTAGTGTATATAACAGTTAATTGAAAGACATAACACATTGATTGATTGATTGTCAGTCTCACTGTTTTCAAAGATAAGATACTCTTAAAAATGTTGTATTAAATTATAATTGAAAACTAAGAGTTTGTATTTAATTTTTTTTTCTCTATCGTAATATAATTGTTACGAATTATTTATTAATTGCTTTACTATATTTTTAGATGTATTTTGAGTAATAAATCATTGGATATCTTATCAAACTTCAAGCAAACGTCTATTTTATATATGTATAACTTTCTACTGTATATGTTTTATATACAGTACAATATGCTTTAGAGTATAAATTTATATCAATGGCAAATAGTCAGTTACCTTATATAATATAATATGTATAGTTTTTTGTATTAATAAGCAATAAAACCCAACTAAAAATAAATTGATAACTATTTAAAGAATTTTTTAATAAGATTTATATATATATATATATATATCTTAATTTAATTAAACAAATAAATCTCTATTTATAGTTTTACTAATTTTAGACAAATTTTAATTAAATGAATTAATACCATATTCTTGTGGTATTTGTTTATGTTTGTGATTACCAGTAATTATGAAATATATACATATATTATGCATTTTGAAATAATTAAAAATAAAACTTTTATAAATATTATATTTAAATTAGTTATAAATATTATCATATTTTTCTTGTAAACTATAATTGATATCAATGTGTGTGTAAACTATTGCCTTTAACACCATTTAAATTGCGTAAAATGAAGAGTTGATAAAATAGTTAAACAACACGTCTTTGTTGAAGTATATCACAGACTCTTTATCTCTAATTTCAAACAATTGGATCCAATTTTTTATCGGATTAAACAATACTTTAATAAAGATGTAACGCATACGCCATCTCTGGCCTCCTGAAGGATAGTTGCAATACATTTGCCGACAGTTAGTGTCGATAATGTTAAGTGTTTGCTACCATTTATAGGACAAATCTTTACTATAAAATCATAAATATAAACTAATTTTCAATCAACTTAGATGTTTCGTTATATGAAATCTATATGTGCGTCTGTCTGTCTGTCTGTCCGAGCAGTTTATTTTTTTACTTCGGATTCGGTTAGAACATCAAAAATGAAGTATAGTATAGGAGATTAACATAAAAATTAATTGATTGATAAAAATATCTAATCAGGAATATGAAGAAAATAGCAGACAAAGTATAAAAATTACAATTTATGTATTTTTTGACTTTGTATTCATAGAGCATTAAAATATAAAATATGTTTCTCTGAAAAAAGTATTGTCTTGTTATGAAAATGATATAAATGTCGGATAAATTATTTTATAGTTGGGAATTGATTTTAAGATGTTTATGTAAAATATACTATTAATCATAAATACAAATAATTAATAGCAATATTTTTTTCATATTGACTAATGAAAACTTATTAATGTTAGTAATGAATATTTAGGGATCAAAGGTTGGATGTAAACTTTTATTGCAATTATTATTTTTATTGCATTATTTTTAAACAGCACTTTTTTTAATCCAAAATCAAGGAGAGGGACTTAAGGGAAAATTTCATTAAATTCCCGAATATTCCCATGTAAATTCCATAGGGTTTCCAAAAGATCCCATGCAAATAGGTAAATTTCCCCAAAATATAAATATTTTTTTTTATTTTTTAAAAATTAATAAAAACTTAAATAATGTATTTAAAATTTAAAAATAGTTGATAAAAGCATTAATGATTCACTATGAGTTATATTTAATATTTTAATAATTTATAACTTTTAACATAATTAATTATATAAATAATAATTAATGTTTATAGTTTATAGATACATAATTTTATTTTTTAAATGTTATTTTTATATAAAAATTGACTGAATACTAATTATTTAACTTAATTTTTTGTTAAAGTTTTAGTTATAGTAATTATAAAATTGAATTTTTTTTTAACTTTATTTATCTTAAACTTCTATTTAAATTGTAATATGATTACTGTCTTTTCAACAAATAGGTAATTATTATTTGTGTTGTTTAATATTTTAATTATAATAATGTTATTTTCAGATGGGTTTTAACGTGATTTTAACTATTTTACTTATTAATCAATAATTATTCATATAAATTTTAAAAACATAATAACATTTACTAAAATAGTATCAATTAAAATAAAAATTTTTAAACTTCAAAAAATTTCTGTGCCTTCGGTCATTTCTCTTGGTTTTTAAGCCACAATTTTTTCATTTTGTCAAAAAGTCTCAAATCCCAAAATCTCGATCTTAGGAGGGGGTCATTTGTCTTGACCCCACCCTACCCCCCTTTTGCTTAACCTATATATATATAGCTGTATACAGAACCTGTATATAAAATATTTATTTAATATTAATAATTAATATTAAATGTAATTTTTTTAATAATAAACATTTGAAATAAAAATATATTATTAAATAAAATTTATAACAATTTGAATGTTTGTTCAATACATTTGAAATATAAATTATTAATACATTTAGTGATTACTAGATGTCAGTCACCAATCAATGTGTTGTTTACACACATTTGCGTTAATATGAAAACTGTTTGTTTGTATTGACTTTTTGTCATCAAATCAATTGTTTGTCAATAAATGTTTACTAAAGATGTTATTAACGACAACTAATCAGCTGTTAATCAGTCAATTGCGGTCACAATCACTGACCCGACAACGCATACAATTGTTGAACAATAGACCGATATATGGATATCAAGTGTTTAGTCGACAACACTGGTCAACAACAATCACAAACAGTGGCCACTTCTGGAACTCGTTTCGGGACACACTTTACGAAAGAGTGGATATCTTTGTCCGACTATTGAGACAACAGTCCAACGTTTATATGAGTTTAAGATTAAGAAGAATGGCTCAAATCTGCGGTCTTTATAATAGGATTTATTCGGAATCAACTGTCCATAAAATGATGTCCCAAATGCTGATCCGATTACGGATTCGGGCTTTAAGTACCTTAAGATGTCGTCTAAATAACTATAAGTCCAATGATTCAGTCAAATACTTGATGTCCGCCGTATGCGGACTATTCTGTTGGGATAATCAACGGATCACTGATTTTGATTTGAAACAAACTATTAATGACTTTGAATGCATTCAGAAGAATGAATTGAAGAGTTTTGCCAATAAGTTTAGTCATGACTTGAATAAAGATAATTGCGGTAAAAGTAATACATTTTCGGTTTCGGCCGAAACGAGTGAAGATAAGGAAAGTGATGGTCAGTGGGAACCCGTCATTATGAGAGACAACTTTAAACTGTGGCGAAGATCTTATCCAAACACTTCTCTATATCAGTACAAAGGTTTGTGATATTTGTTAAACTTATTATTTTTAAATATTTAATTTCTTTTTGGTATAGTTTACGGTACTTTTGATGACATACCGGCGCGAACTTTCTTTAGAGTTCAAATGGATACCGAGTATCGCAAGAAATGGGATAAATTGGTTATTAAATTAGATATTGTCGACAAAGAATCGTTTATTAAAGATAAAGATCACATGAATAACGAAGACTCAGGCAATGAAGTGTTGCATTGGATTATGAAATATCCAGTAAATGATTTATTTTTAATTAAATCGCATTATTTTAATTAATTATTTTATTTGTTAGTATCCGATGAGTACTAGAGATTACGTGTATTTACGGCGATCTCGAGTGGACGTCAAGAACAATGTAATGGTATTGATGTCCAAATCGATTGAATATCCGAAACTACCGGAAACATCACAACACGTACGTGTGGTTAACTATTCTTCGCAAATGGTTATCAAACCTCACACGACATTTGATGAATGCGGGTTTGATTATTTGCTCACTTATTTTGATGACCCGAGAGCTGCCTTTCCGATGCCGGCCTATAACTGGATGGCCGTCAGTGGTGTTCCCGAATTTGTAAACAAATTACATTCAGCAGCCTTTCAGTTGTTTCAATCTAATAATTATAAGTCAAACAAATACCAGAAACAGAATTGTTTTAATACAACAACTCATTCGACGGAATTATACGCCTAAACTGTAAACTAAGTTTTTTTTTTTAATTTTAGATCAAATTGACTGACATTCAGTCTATTGGTTGACAACTCATTTATTTTAATAAAGTTTAAGATCTAATTATTGCTAACATTATTAATATCTTATTTATTCAATTACCGGTAAAATAAACTGCAATTTCTATAAAACCATACTTAATATTATTGTTAACATATTAATGACAATTTATTGTGTAATTAAAGGCAAATATATATATTTATGTTAGGGTACATTATTTTTATTTTAAAATAGCTATATTTAAGTATAAAAATCTTTATACTGTATAAATAATCTTTTAAAAAAATATAATATAAATTGTATCGGTTTTTATTTCTATTATCGATAATTTTTTATTATACATTATGTAGTAATAAATTAGTAAAGTAAAACAGCATTTCTAGTTAGTGTAATTAAATTTCCATATTTAACTAATCCTATAATCATTTATAAAATATGACAAATGATCTTATTATGCATTTGGCATTACGTCCAGAATCGGCACATAACTTACCAAAACTTATTGTTTGTGACTGAAACCCAATTTGTTAGCAAATACTCCACTTATATGAATGGTATTGCCGTTAGTGGTGTCTCCGCACCAACTCATCAACACTTCTTCTTTAACCTCATCTTCACATTTCAATGATTTGATCCGAAAGACATATATTCTGTAATCAAATAAATTGATGACAAATACAAATGGTTTTTTCAAACTTCATATCTAACCTCATTTGGTCTTAAGTTCCAAGTCTTGGGAATCGATATAAAACACGACTTTCTGGCCGTAAACTTAATTTCCGAGACGTCAACAAAAGTCATTGTCGATTACCAAATGATTGTCCAATGAGTAAACGGGTGGCAATTGTCATCATAAATCGGTGACATTTAGCTAATTATTGTTTCTAATATTTTGTCCAAAAATTTACAAAAAAAATGTATACAATGAATGAAATATACATATACTTAATTTATATACTGTATATACATCTATTATTAATATAGTAATAGTAATCTCTAATAGTACTAATACAGTATTTATCGGTAAGTTTAACCATTTTTTTCCCCTATCTCGCCATACATTCTGATGAGTCGTCCTGCGTAACAATAGAGGACGAAATAGTGTTATTAGTATTAATTGTACCGCAGTTTGCGGTCAGGTGTCGTAAATGTTTGCCGATTAAGCAGCAAAAACATAGAGGAAATGGCAATCATCAGAAAATTTTATAATAATTATAAATTATATATAATTATTATATTATTAAGTGTCTGATCACAGGTCATGTGTCACCAATAGATATATTAATATTAATATACTGGTATAATACACACTGTATTAAAAAAAAAAAATTCTGTAATTTAGTATATTATATATAGTAGTTATAATTGTATAATTGTCATTTAACATATACTATAATACTATGTTTTATACTACATAACAATTATCTTAAATTATCAAAGTTGACAAATAATTGTAATAACAATCCAATTGTTATGTCAAACAATCAGTTATGACTTTTAGTTATACTTCTTGTGGTAAATGAGTGAACACTAACTCATTGATTACTTCACAGACATTTTGATAGTTTGTGTAAAAAGTTTTTGAAAAAATCAAATTCATATTAGATTTTAAATATCAAATGACTTTTAGTTTAAAACTTTAATAAATTATTTATCTATTTATTTATTCATAAAATAACTTTAAATAACAATTAATTTAATATTCAAATATTTTCATTTATATTTTCATTTGTATTATTTTTTTAATTACCAATTTATTAATTTTTTAGAATAAAAAGATTAAAAATATAAACTAAAAATTAATAAAAATTATTTAATGAAAAATATTTATATTATTTTAAATGAAATTTAGTCATTAAATAAATGCATTTTTAAATAATTATTAAATAATCAATTAAATTATTATATTATATTTTATTTATATGTATTTTTAAAAAATTATTTTTCATTTTATTGTTTTGTAAATCAATAAGTATTTAATTAGAAAATATGATTTGTTAGTTTAATTAATAACAAAATTTATTTTTACTTTTAATATTATAAATTTATGAATAATTATAACATTTTTTAGTTTATTGTCAACTAAATTATTGCTAACTAGTTTAATAACTATAATAATAAAACAAAATAATTTTAATCTTATAATTTATAACTCAAAATAATAAATTTTTTCGAAATTATTATACCAATCATGATGACAAACTAATTAAATAGTTTACTCAATTTTTGCATTACATTTTTTGCATAATTATAATTTAACTTAATAATAAGATGATAATTTTTTCAATTTGATTTTAATTTAATATTTTAATTAAAAATAGTAATAATTATAACATTAAAAATAAAGCTTTGATTGATATTTATTATTGAAAATAGTTTTTGACCATTATATTTGTAGACACTATAAACTAATTACTGTATTATATGATTTGCTATTAATTAAGAAAAAACAATTAAATTATAATAATAAAATTTTTAATAAAAAAATAATATTAAATTAATCAATTTAATATTAAAACAATTTTATCAAAAATAGTGAATTTTATTACCGGTATTTGATAATTATTTTAAACATAACAAAATTATTATTTTAATGCAATTAATGTAAAAATTATAAATTACTATAATGTATATTCAAAAATAACAATTACTATAAAATTTATTTATATAAATCATTACTTAGTAATTGATTACAAAAATGAAAATAATTAATTTTCATGATTTGTTTAAATAATTTTGAATTTATCATCTCAACCGAGTTTCGGGTCTCTATCTAATATTATATATGCTTTCAATATATTATAAAATTAAAAATAATTTAATACATTTTTCTTAGTTTATTGTTAACTAATAATTATATTAAATATAAAACTTTAAATAATAAATTTTATAAAAATTATTTTACCAATCATGATGACAAACTAATTAAAGCTAAATTGTTTAATCAATTTTTGTATTACATTTTCTACATAATTATAATTTAACCTAAAAATATAATATTTTTTACAATTCAATTTACATTTTATTTATAAATATTAATAATTGGGTTATCAATAACTAGAGGTCTTTTGAAACTTTTTATTGAAAATTGTTTTATAGTTATTTTTATAGACATCACAAACAATTCAATTATTATGTGATTATTTCTTAATTAACTGATAATTAAAAGAATGACAATTAAATAATTATAATTAAATTATCAATAAAAAGTTTAATTAAGAAATTTAATATTAAATAATTTTATCGAAAATAATGAATAGATATTATTATAATTTAATAATTATTCTGACATTTTATATATTATAATTATTTTATACAAAATACATTTATTATTTTAATGTAATTAATGTAATAATCATAAAATTAATCACATAACTATAAGACAGCAAATATTTATAAAATTTGTATACTGTTTATTTAAAAATAACAATTACTATTATATAAAAATTGTTTTAATATAAATCATTACTTTGTAATTGATTATAAAAATGAAAATCATTATTTTCAACATTTTGTTAATAACATTTTGAATTTATTGCTTTATTTATTTTATTTATATTTTTATTTTATATGATTCACGTAATGAATGTTTGCAATAAAGTGATTATAATAGTGGCATAAGTTTATCAACAAAATAAAAAATAAAACAAACTTATAATTTAATTAATTATAACTTTGAATCAATAGCACAAGTTTATATATATTATATTGTATAAATATATTACATAAATATAAAACTAAATGACTATTAAACTAAAAATTAATGCATAATAAATTGGATAAATTGTTTTTATGCTTTTAGATAATGATTATTATTGTTATTACTTATAAGTTTTATACCGTATATATAATTATTATTATACAATAATACCATCGAAATAATCAATTTTGTCATAAAGTGTTGGTTTCAAAATGTTAGACATTTGTTTCTTAAGGAAATACATGAAATAATCGACAATTTCTAAAGATTTTTATCGATTAATATTATTATTTTATTCATATATTATATAATATATATATACTATATAGAATTTTTCAAAGTATATATTTTTATGATTTACTTTATTGATATTATAGTGGTTAATAATCGATAGATTAATGCTTAGAGATTTTTTGTTAAATTATAGATAATTAACGTTTTTATGTTAATTTGTGTTCCCAAAAATGTTTTCAATATAAATGTTTTAGTATATTTTGCACATATTTTTCATATATAAATAAAGACTACAAATTTTATGCAGATATCAATATATATATATATATAGTAAAACGAGAATTTATAGTACAAACATTCACAAAATATTTGAAAAATTAAAAAATATATATATTTAAGTTTATATTACTTTAACATGATTTTAGACTATGTAATACCTGTAATATATAAATATATCAACAAATATAATAAAACAAATAATTAATAAACATTTGATAGTAGTTTTTGATTCAATAAAATTTAATGTTAGTATTTTACATACAAATTTAGAGAGTGATTTTATAGTTATTTTTATTATATAGTCATATAATATATTCTTCTAATTTTATATATTTAATAATAAATATTGCAATAATAATTTATTATTATAGTTATTATTTAATAAAAAATAAGTTTATGCCAGAGTTGACTATTATCATAACTGTCAATCAGTTTTACAATAATAACAATTTCTAATACAATTAGATTACTTTATTGATTATTTTAGTGTATTTTTATTATTGCTATAAATATTTCTAATACAGTGCTTATTATCAAATCAATAGCAATATAATAGAAAAAAATAAGAGAGTAATTAATTCAATTCATTTCTTATTATAATTAAGTTTTATATAAAGTATATTATATTAATAATATGATTAATTAAATAATGATTAATTATTTTTTAAAATAATAATTTAATGATATTTTATATTTAATACAGTACTGTATTTTGTTTAAACAAATTTGTTTGTTTTGTCACTAATTTTAAGCTACAAATTGAATGCAAGTATTGATAAATAGAGTAAATTTGAGGATTAAATAAAAAATTTGTTGTCATTTCTTCATTTGATTTTTTTGAAGGCCGAGTTGTGTCCACCAATTGTAAGACTAGCGCCACCACTAGTGGCGACTGAGGTCAAGTTGTCGACGTGTCTGCGTGTCGGTGACGGTGAGCCATGTGGTGTACCGCTTCGGGAACTATGATTACTGGTCAAAGTGTGGTGTTTGTCCGATGAGATCGTGTCAAACGAGTCACGGGATGCACACGAATCCCTTGAGTCCATGTCAATGGTCGGCGAGTCAGCCGAGTCTCGGGAACCAATCATAGAATACTTTGAACTGTTCGAGTGGGACATCCTCTGGTGTCGGCGCCATTTTGCCCGTCGGTTACTAAACCATACCTAAAATATTAATTTAAAAATTAAATATTTTTTTTTATAAATGATGTAATTATTGAAAACATATGCTTATTATTCATATAATTTCTTTTAGCTTTTTAAACCAAAACTAATTAATGTTTTGATTATTAGATTATATTAGTGTCGCCAGTAATATAAAAACCAAATGCTTTGAGACTATATTAGAGGCGATAGAAAATTATCACTAAATTGTGTCTAAACTTCAAGAGTCAAATCAAATGCATAACAATTCTTTACAAAACCTATAATTTGTTTATGAAATTCAATGTTTTTAATGTATAATCGTTAGCTTTAGTGCACTCTTGTAATGCTATAATTTATATCATATACCGTACATACAAACTATAATATTAACTAAATTATGTTTTTATTTTATTGATATTCAATTGAATGTCATTAAGCGTTTTGTGGTAACCGTTTGCACAAAATGTTAACTATATATATATTTCCCACTCGTTTAATGACATTAATACTGTACAGTATATATAATAGCAATGGCATTAGTATTGAGCTATTAGTTGTGTATGTATTTATAGACACAAAGTCACTGTATATTCATTAAACAAGTTTTTATGGACTCAAAGAGAGAAAGAGAGCACTGGTAGTCAACACTAATGTTTTTGCGGGTAAACGATCTGTTAGTCACACAATCAATGGCTAACAAAAATCAAATCGATTTTATTAATAATTATCATAAAAATATATAAAGTTATATAACTTTTTTTTAATCACACGTTGCTATTATAAACATATTTAAAAACATTCATTAGTTGCAATGCAATGACTTTAGTGTATGTGTTAGTGATAATTATTTACAGAAAAATTGTATTATCATAATAACATAAAAGACAGTTATCATTGTATGTCATATTAAGTTACTGTATATGAGTACATAAAAAGTTAACTTTTTATATTGTATAGGATTAACGTTTTACATAAAAATTATTAAATAATAATAATAATTGTTTTTATGTTTCTATTCCTGTTCTGAACATATTTATATAAAACAGCAACAAATTTAAACAAATAAAATATAATAATATATTGACGTAATTGTAAATAAATGAATTTATTAATTCATTTTTTCAATTAAAAACTAATTAAATAACACAAATGCTGTTAAATATCATGTTTACTAAATTATCATAAATATAAATTTAATTAATTAGCATTAAAAAAATAAATTAAGTAAATGATTAATTTTGTATCTAATTGTTGATATTTTATAACCTATATATTAAATTAATTATTTGTTTTATTATATAAAATGATTACAATTTTAATAATGATTATTATAAAGTAAATAAATCAATTAAATGATCGAACAGAAAAAATATATAAATATATAATTTTTTTTATTAAAATCACATAAAATATGTTATATGAAAATCTTTATATCAATATATATCAGGTATATTAAAATTTCAATTAAAGTGCCGCTAAATTATTTTGTAATACATACTATTACATGAATTGCTAAATGTTAAATATATTATAAATCTATATTATATATATATATATAATATTTTATTTAACAAACAATTTAAGCTAAATTTGAATTTTCATTTCCTTTCATTTCTCTCTCTCTCTCTCTCTCTCTCTCTCTCTCTCTTTCATTCAGTAAATCGATTTTTAATGAAAACTTGAATTTCATTTATTAAATAATAATATAATTATAAATACAAAAGATTGTTGTTGTTATTCATTAATGAAATCTACTTGAAATAAACACGATATCGAATACAAATTTTTGTTGTATATTAAAAGTATAGTATTTATAAATAAATTGCATTAATATTGTATAGAATTAACAATTATTAGAAATTCAAGTAATTTATTCAATCAATAAATACTGCAAACAATGGCTTAATTGAAGAAATATATATTATATGTAGTATTTCAAACAGAAAAATATATATTTTATTAATATATACACACATAAAAAATATGTTTTATATAAAAAGCAAATTATTTGTATTATTATTAAATTTTTTATTTGTCTAATTTTTATGGTGAATGAAATTGCATGAATGGCACCAACAAATAGTTTAGAAGTGAACAAAAAAAAACTAATAATGATTTGTATGTCTACACTATTATTTATATTAAACATATTTATTTTAAATATATATATTGTAGATTAATTTTTTTTTCAAAAATTGATTTGTTTATCTATCATATAACCAATTGCTTACATTTTTATGTGATACCTAAGCAGACACCGGCTGATAGACACACCACACATACAGACACACACACGCGTTGCCATTAAATGCCAAATGAAGAGACACCGATCAGAGAGTGGTAGGTATTGTCGCCCTATCTCTCACTTTGCTAAACAGCAAAAAACATTGAGGGACTGGTATTTTAAGTCTCTTTTGCATAACATTATTGTCACGCAAATGCTATTTTAATAGCAAAATTTATATAACTTGGTATTAGTGTATTATATATTTATTACTAGTATAACAACTCATAACTAGAAACTCAATAATACTGTATTAATCAAAATTACAATAATATCGTAGTTGTAATAATAAAACTGCTATAAAATATATGGCAATTGTCTATATCAGGCAACCTTACTATTGACTGCTTGTGATAGCGAGCTACTGGTGCAATGTTGTAGAAATATTATATATATAAACTTTATTATACACCAACAGTAGTGAACATTTGTGAGCAAACCGACCAACCAATGCATAGCCAATTAATTTGTTAGACTTTGTATTGATTTTGCAATCAATGCTTTTTCATTGCTTCCCATATTTTTATAAATATATATACAATCTATAGATTATAAATATATAACAGAATTATAATTTTTTTCCAATGCATTCATTATTATTACATAATATTTAATATTCTTTTCTTTAATAATGAATTAATAAGTAATAAATTGTCGGCAAAGCAATTGTGCTTTTATTTTGATTATTATTATCAATACTATTACTACAAACAACTACTTTATTATTATTTATTAGTTATGATTGCATAACATTTTTTTGAAGTAATCAAATGACAAACCACTCATTGCCAGTTCATTTGCATCATTCAAATCAATTCAAAGCTTATCATTATTACAATTATTGAAAAAAATCAATTCAATTGGTAACATATATAACATTTTTACTTCAATTCAATGATCATATCGCATGTGATGATCAATTGGGATATTATTTTTCTTTTTATACAATAATACTACTATCGGACTATTATTTTCAAAATAGATTTGTAGTTTAGAAACCTTTATAAATATGCAATTATTTTCACCACATTATAATATACAGTAATCACTATAAGTAAATGTTATATATTAGTAAAATTTACTGTATTTTATAGTACAGATATTTTCTTAGTAAAACAAAATAAATTTATTTACCAAAGTTTTTATGTAAAAATAAAATTAAGTAAAACTTATATTTTATGCATTATTTTACAATACATTGGAGTCTAAATTGAAAATATATTTATAAATATTGTATTACATGTCGTTAGCTTAAAACATGATAAAATAAATTATTGTAAAATAACAAATATATAAATATAAATTATTTTAATAGTCTTTTATAGAAAAATAAAATCTAACTTTTACATGAAATCAATTTTAATAAAAATAAATTTTGTTGTTTTGTTATTATTATTATTTCTTTAGATTTATAATCATTTCAATTCAATTTGATAATCACTAAAATAATGTTATACTATTAATATCATATACTGTATGATATAAAATGATATATAAATAAATTGAATACTATTTTATTGTTTTGTTCTATTAATATCCAATTATAGTATATAAATGGATAATTTTTTTGTTCACTTTATGGTATCGTTAAAAATTATATAAACTATTTATTATCCATTATAATGATAATCATTATTATAATTAAGATTATTAAAAATTAAAAAAAAACACTACAATTTCAATACAATAAATATATTTTTTAAATATGCTAAATATGTGATATTCGTTATCACATTAAATTAATTAATAGAAAACAGTTATATTTGAAGGAACGGTCGCTCACCTGAACTCTGGCCTCAGACAAACTGGTGATCTGTGCGAGTCTTTCTCTTGTAGTAACACATGGATAGTGTGTTCTTTCAAACTCTTCTTCGAGCACTTCCAGCTGTTGGTGTGAAAATGTGGTTCTGTTTCGGCGAAATTTGGCGGAACTAGAGTTGGGATCAAACGTGAGGTGCGGATCAAATGGTAACTGTTGTTGTGACAGTACGGCTGATTGATTACTATGATTAGGTGATGAAGAGTTGCTATGATTACTGCTATGATTGCTATTGTTGTGCTTAATGTCGTCCTTATCTATGTCTCTATCGTCTAAAAGATTTGACACAAACTTCATTGCATTACTTAACTAAATTTATGGCCATATTTTGGTCATTTTGTGCTCACCTCTTGGGCTACTGTTATCCAATTCATCGCGACTATTGTTATGTTGTTGTTGAAGAAGAGCTGCGTGTGTTAGTGGTGTCGGCGGCCAGAAATGTCCGGTCTGTCCGTGTGGGTGCTGGTGTGAGGCCAAAGCTGCGGCAGTGGCAGCTGCAGCCCACGCGGCGTATAGTTGATGGGCGTGTCCTGAGTTGGATCCTATATTAACATACACTATCAGATTAAATCTAATTAATACTATAGTATAATGAATACTGACCGGCATAAGGATGCGGTTGATGTGCTGATGGGTGGTGTGGATGAGGTGCTAAAGGATAGTGTACTGAGGCAGCGGTGGCCGCCGCAGCCAATTGATAATTACGGGCAAACTCAGCGGCCGCGCGTTCGGCCGCTCTATTCCTTAGTATACGATTGATTGATGAGACAGAGGGTGCGGTGCCATTGGTACAGACACCTGGAGATGAAGTGTTTAACAAATTTAATTAACGTTACATATTAATAGACAATCTATTTATTTTAAATTAATTATCGCATTCATTGAATTTGATATCACTTAATGTAATCTCATTTTTGGTACTTATATTCAAAGGCAAACTTTCGTTAAAAGTCTAGTTATTCTCTACGCTCTCTCTCTCTCTCTTTCTCTCTCTCTCTCTCTCTCTTCTCTCTCTCTCTTCTCTCTCTCTCTCTCTCTTCTCTCTCTCTCTCTCTTTCTTTCTTTCTCTTGTCTTTAGATTTAATAATTAATTGCATTAAAACAAAGTTATGCAAAAAATATATTTTCATAAATAGGTTTTTATTTTACTTTATACTAAGTTATATACATTTTTTAAGCTTTACAACTATGAACTAAAAATCAATAATACATTCAGTGGTTTAAGATTTACGCATTTGTGATGTTAGTATCTCTCTTTCTCTCTCTCACAATCACTCACTCACTCACTCACTCACTCACTCACTCACTCACTCACTCACTCACTCACTCACTCACTCACTCACTCACTCACTCACTCACTCACTCACTCACTCACTCACTCTATCTCTCTAGTTTGATGGCAATCATTCACTTTATGTTAATTAAGGTTATCTATTAGATTATGGGTATGACTATAACTAAGAGGTATGGGTGCAACCTCTGATCACTTGCCACCGCTTTATATAATACAATACTGTAGTGTACTGTATATACAATATAGTTATAGATGTAATCTTTAAATTAGATGCTAAAGAATCTGTTAGGAGAAGCGCTCCCTTTACTCGTCAGAAGCCATATATTCGACGGTTTATTTAAGTGACTCTGAAATACCAAAATGTCATATGTTTTTCACTCAAAAGTTAATTAAGTTGTTGTTTGCGTCCGTCGCGCGTAAACCTAAACAAAATCTCAACACAGAAATGACAACCAAAACAAACCTTAAGAGTAATGTGTTTCTTGATTTCACAAAAATAAATATTAAAAAAACGATTTCTACCTCTAAATACCTTTCCGCAAATGTATTGATAACAAGCATATATATAATGCTCTATAATCTGATTATTAAATCAGGTATTTTTGCTCTCTCTCTCCCTTTAAAACAAAAATTTCATACACTTTTCCACTCATTACTTAAGGTTTGCACAATTATCAGTTAAATTCCCAAAATATGTTTCGTATAAATTGCATTAAAAATATTTTTTTTTGTGAAAACCACTGCCCCTACAGGTGTCTCCTCACATACAATCAAAAGGAAAGTCAGAGAAAAATTATGGTATACTCTCATACTTTCATCGAGTGATAAGATTTAGGTCTTAAACGACTCTATAAATCAAATGATGTCGTTGTAAGACATTGACGACAAACGACATTGTTTTGATCACAGGTTAGGCATTTATGGTACGTTAAGCTACAAGAGCTATGATTACTAACAAATATATTTATGGTATGCATTACAATGCAATTACCTGTAATATCGCTAACCATTAATTTTATATTATCACAAAAGTCTTAATTCATACAATTATGAGATGCATTTGTGTTGTCTTTCCTTAATATAATGATTTGCTTCAAACACTGAGCCAAATATAATTTACTATAATATAAAAAATTGTTGATTTCTCTTAATGTTGATATCATTTTACTGTCTTATTATTGTAAATGTGTTGCCGTTTTTGGGTAAACACAATCAAAACGTGAGATTCTAATATCAAGGATAGATAGATATGTGGACAGGGATGGTATGTAACAATTATATACAAGGGAGACGATACATAATATAAGTGGGCAGACATACAAAAAGTCATTAGTATTGTATATCATATATATATATATATATATATATATATATATATATATATATATCTTATATGTGAAAAATTCAAATAAAATGAAAGTTATAGTCAGTGAGTAAAAGTTAAATAAAAAAAAATTGAGTCAATCTTTGAAGTGAATATAAGACGAGTCAAATAATAATACTTTTACATATCATATATCAGAGGAAAAACATTTTTGATTCACTTATATTTGACAATGAATTGAATTATACTATGGATTGCCGGAAACGCCAACACTATAATCAAGTGCTCCGAGGAATACTACCAGAGCTTCCTGTGCTTTCTGTATAAGCAATGATGGTTAGGCACGAGTGAACAGTACAGAAACATATAGAAACATACAAAGACATACAAAAGAGTCACTCAATTGTCTATAACTCTATATATCCCAAGAGATTTATTTATTATATTTCTATTATATTTATTATTACAGAAGCAGTCTGTGATAAACACAAGATTTTTCAATGACTGCCACCGAAAAACAATTCATAGGAAATGAAGTTATATATATCCAGTATATATATATATATATATGTATACTGTAACGTATATAATGCAAACCTGTTGGGTGTGTGTGCGCACAGGTCTTTAATTCAAGCGAGTAATTGTGTTGTCTTGTGGCCAATTTCACACATTACTACCTAAGCCGACCTAAGCATTAGGCTAAGCAATCATTCATTCATATATTCACTCAATCAAGTTACGGTATAAGCCAAAAAACACCCGGTGCTCATTGAAATTGGATATCAAGAATCAATTTTAAAAAAGCTATTTTGTCACAACTGTTATGTTTGTATCATATTATATATAAAATGTTTATAATTTTATACTCATCACTTGTTTAATACGATACACACTTTACATGTCTGTTCACATAAATTTGGGTTTGGATGGTATTTTGGGATAACTTATTTGAAAATAGCATTAATTAATTATATTTAATTAATTCGCACAGCATTTTATAATAGCTATCATTTATTATATACGAGTTATATCTGAAACAGTATAGACTAAAGTATAAGTTATGGTTTATCTGACAATATCTCACAACAAGTTTGTATTTAATAGGGAGAGTCATATACTAGAGAAAGAGAAAAAGAGACGACTATTTTGATTAGTGAGAGATTTATTTGACTTTAAAAGTCACAGAAAATGTGCAAAAATAAAATTATTGCAAAAATAAAGTATAAAATGTTGTCGCAATTTTTTTGAAATAAATTATTTTTATTATGATTTTTTGTTGTTATGTTTCAAATTAATATCATATCACATATATTTCATAGACAAACTAAAACTTAATTATGCCCGAAGCTATATAATAAATCACTTGTCCATTAAGCTATCAGTTAATAATAATAAAAAAACAACGACTAAAAGATAGACAATTGATTGCCATTTAACTGATTCACTAGTCTTTTGACATTATATTTATCAAAAAAGATATTTTCTATGTTATCATAAATTTAAGGGTACATTACCTTCGCTGATGAGTCGTTCCCTGATCTCCCAGGCAAATATAGTCGGGTTCTCACGTTTGTATTGTTCAATTTTGTTGACCACTACAGGTGTGGCCACTTTGGGTTTCGAGCCACCGATCACTGTCGAGTGATTGGGCGATCGGAACAGTGCTGCGGCTGACGCACCACCCGATGCTTCATAATAACGACCTAATCATAAACATAATCATATCTTAACATATAAGTAGTCAGTTATGTCATAAAAAGCTAATACTAAACAATTTATTTGATTATTATTTTGTACACCAATTCTTTACTGTCTTTTGTTATGTTTATTCTGTGCTTTTGTTGTTTTAGGCATTAATTGTATATTTTATTTAACGATTGGTTTGTTAGTCATTTAGCTAAAAGAATCGCTGCTTTGAATATTATAAATCTCACGTATTTGACGAATAAAAGCTTCAATTATTATTTATATTTTTATTGTGTGTATGTGTGTGTGTGTATGTATGTGTGTGTGTGTGTGTGTGTGTGTGTGTGTGTGTGTGTGTGTGTGTGTGTGTGTGTGTGTGTGTGTGTGTGTGTGATTGTGTGTGTTGAGCAATTTTGTAAAGTTTGTAGTCAAAACAAAGTAAAATAATATTAGTATCACTATTATTATTATTATTATGATTAGCATTAGTATTATTATAATTCTCAAACAAAACATTATATAACAAAAAATTCAAAAGAAAAGTATTTAGTTTTGTTAGCAAATGACTTAAAAATTAGAGAAATGCAATAAACAGTGAATTGAAAGGCAAACAAATACAGACACATATAGTGGGCAACACTTAAAAATAGGCATTTCTTTATAAAGATGATCATCACCTGACGTCAAATAAATTTAAATACTTTATATAACTATTTATAAGTTTTATGACAAGTAATGAAAGAGTTGCCAATTATAGTCGCCACATATGTATGTGCCGGATACAGGTGCTATTGTCAGTGCCGACCCAATGCTTAAACTTTATAATCATTATTAAAGTGTTTGAACGTTTTGTTTTATCTAATCTAAGTTAAGTCGTCTATTATATTAAGACAGATATAATTTGCATTTGAATTGCACTATAATTTGTTGTTCAAAATGAATTTCAAAATGATTATACAATATTAATATATTTAAAAAAAAACTGCTATCAATTGTAATGATTAGCCATAGATGTGCTGTCAAACAGAATGATAACTACAAAATAGTTTATATAACAATAGATATTAATATATCATAAATATAATGATAAAAATGATACAAAAGTCATGATTAAGAAGCACACAATATAGTCATATAATAGTAGTAATAGTATTATGAATCTATAATTGGGGAACTGTTAGCAGAAAAACGGAACTCCGCTTTAATAAAAACAAATGAGTAATCATGTAGTCCAAGAACTGTGTCTTATATTAAATATAAATTATATATAATATACAGTATATGAATACACATGTTTTTTTAAATGTGATATCGCTATTAGTTATTGCTATTATTCAGTTATTAATATATATTAGTAATTGACTATTGTGTGTACACAATGTGATAATATGAAGCGATGATGACTTTACCTAATAATTTATTGACAGCTGCCGTTTGAAAAGGTGAAAAGGGACCCATATGTGACATTGCGGCCGGACTTAGCATTGAATGTGGCAGTGGATGACTACTGAGCTGAGAGATGCCCGTCTGCGGGGGCGTACCGTTGCCAACACCACTACCATTGTTGGTGTTGTTGAGGTGATGATGATGCAGATGATGAAGGGGTGATGTGGTGGTTGTCGGTGTCGGCTCACGAGTGCTACCTGTAAATGATTATTACAAAATTATTACAAAATATATAAAATAAATAATATAATAATGTGATAAGTGATGACAATCAGCATCAATAATATGCAATATTACAGTGCAAAATAGCACAACACATATATAATATATCTAAATAAATCAATGATTAAGCGATAATCATTACCGATATTTAGGTTGAATTTATTTTATTATTATTGCTTTTTTATATGTGTTTGCAATGATTTTGTGATTTTATGAGAGCTCTCAATCACACACATACAGGCATTAAGCAAATTGTAATACAATTGAGAACTCAATAGATATTAACAACTTATTTTACATAACCTATAGTATAGACATTAAACATTTGAGATTTAGACTATGTATAAAAACTAAATTAAGTTTTTAATTGTTAAGCGATGAGAAAGTAATTTTTTATTTGTTATAATTATATTTCAAAATGTCATTATATTATTCAATTTGCAAATTTTTTTATACATTGATTATTTTTATTGTTGTGTAAATTTAAACATATTTAATATTTTTATAAATTTCATGTATTTAATGAGTACACCAAAAGTAGAATAAATAACTGCTTATTGTGTAATAATAATAATAATAATAATAATAATAAGTGGTTACAAGAATCAGCTATAATATAAACAATATGTTCAATAATAATTATAATATGATTAATACTATAGTTTATACTAATATATATTTATTTGAAACTCTAATTATATCATTGAAAGTTAATGCTGATAAACAATACAATAAACAAACATTGGATAAACAATTAAATAACTTTTATTTCATTATTTAGTAAAAACATTTGATTTGAATCATATTATAACAATAATTATTTTCTAGATTCATAATAAATAGTATAATATATAATTATATAGGTGTATAATTTTTACTTAAAATATATACATTATATAATAAATGCTAAATACCTGAGTTATTATGTGATGCTATGAGTCCGTCGATATTAAACTTAATTTTTTCATTGTTTTCCAATTTTCCCAATTTTTCTATCTTTTCGATACCAGTTGTCGTCCGAGAGTTTGTCCGCAAATCCATATTTTTGTTGTGTTTGTTGTTTGACACCAACTATAATAACCAACAAAAATATGTCAATGAAAGCTATTCTGTGAATGTTTTTTAAGTGATAAAAGTTTTTTTGGGCACAAAATTATAAGGTTTTGATTTCCGGTTTTTCTCACTATTCGCTATTTATTTGTCTGTCTATTTGAAACAAAATTATCACAACTCCGGAAAGGAAATCTTTTTTGCACAACCATTCATATATAGTAACAGTAATAATAATAATAATAATAATATCATCGCACAGCCATCCTTGGTTAGTGTCAGTCAGTCAGTCAGTAAGATTGGAGGACAGTTGGACGTGTAATAAGTGAGTTTCACATTACTTAAGATACCCTTGTCATAGATAGGAATAGGAAATCTATTTGATCTAATAATGAGCTATAATATACTGTACTTTTCATACCTTTCCTTTCAGACAAATATATGAAATGTTTGATAAAACTATGTCAGAGACATGCGCTCCAAAATTGCACAGTTATCTTATAAGATGATTGTATATAAATTTAATACTATTTTGATGTTTTAAAGTAACAACTTTCTCTTTTCATTGAGTCTAATCTCAAGACATGTGATAATCATAAAATGACACGAATTGTGGCAATAATATCATATTAATAGCAAAACCTGTGAAACTATTGACTCAGTGAATGTCCAACAATACAATGTGTTATTTCAAATCCTAAATATAATTTATATAAAATTATATGTATTTTCTGTATAATAATATTGTATATACAAATTATTTTTTGGCAAATTTTTACCAAAAATATAAAATTGCTGTCTTAGTCTATAGGATATGTGACTAGTTGTGGTGCACCTGGCAATCAAACGGTGCTAACCTTCACTTTTCACAACTTATTTGTTGTCTGCATAATGTGTTGGCTGACACACAATATACTACAATAATTGTAACATTTAATCCAAGCATATTCACATTTATATATACAATATATATTGTATATATATATATATATGATACCATGGATATTTAGTTATAATAGCCGATATGTTTGAATAAATTATGATATGTAAATTACACACACTCTGTAAAGTAATTTACAACTACACTAATTATTACTTAAATTTATAATAAAACAAAAAACAACTGAAAATAACTCAATTCATAAGTGCCGACAAATGATGAGCTAATGAATAATTAAAATTCAGTTAAACAACAATTTTAAAGGCAATTTGAAACCTTAATTGTCGGACAAAACGCTAATTACTTGAGGCATAAATTGATTTTCATTTTTTGGACACATTTTCATTGTCATTATGATTTACTAAATGATTAAATTCACTAAACATACAGTAGTAAACAATTTTACACAAATGTATTATACAAATTTATAATATCTATTTCTATATATTCAAATGTTGGGAATTTAGTTTGCAAAATAAGTGAGAAAGAGTGGGAAACAAATTTATGTGTTTATTATTAAACTTTTGTTATTATTATAATTATATACTAGAGATGAGTACACACATAGAAAGATAGAGAAAACAACAAACTTTTTATTTTATTGTAAATTTGTTTTACAAAATATTAAAAACTAAATTTGGTTGTAATTGTTGAGCAAAACAAAAGTTTTTGTATTATTCAGTCAGATGTGTGTGTAGTGAAAGACAGGTAAATAATAATAATAAATATAAATAATAATAAATTTGAATCCTCCCCTTTAAAATTAATAACAGGGTTGTTTTAAACACTTATCATTTAAAATATAGTATATAACGTATAAAAATTAGTTTGCTTTTGAAATATTTTATTTTAAGTGCAAATATGTGCTCCATATACTGTATATTAACTTTCATTATATTTTATAGTATATTTGGTCTCATAATTCATGACTAAACCTCATCACCATTTGATGATCCGTTAATAAAATCGACCAAAACTTGGCTCCGGATATGATTTTTACACCGATTATTGTTCTGCACTAACTATATATTACATGTATATACTGTATATACAAATATATAAAAATGGCATACATATACAGTATGTCTATGAAGTGTAGCATTTTTATCATTATATCATATGATTATGGCTCAGGAATTATAGTTATGATTATAGTATATATAAACGTATGATTCTCTGAATATATAATAGTATTGTATTAAATAAAGAGGTCTCACAACTGAAAAATAGTTGCGATTGTGTCGTTCAGCAACTAATTTATGTTTCATTACCGGCGCTCAGGAAATGCCACTAAAATATAAATAAAAGAAATGCCACTGACATGTATATGACTGGTATATATATATATATAATAATAATAATAATAATAATAATAATAATAAAAATAATATTTAAAAAGTGAAAAAACATTGTTCGCCTCCAAAATGTCTTTTATATTAAAGCATTTTTTAGAAGTTAAACATTAAATCATAGCTTTAATAATAGACAATTTACTATTACTATAAAACAACTACTACTAAAAGCGCTTATATTTGATATGTTTTTAAATATTTAATATTGTAGTTTATGCTTTATATTTATTGTTTTGTTTGTTAAGCCCATTAAAACATTCACATATATACAAAACATAGTGTGTTCACATAATATTATAATTGTGGAGAAAAAGCATTAAAATATTATTTATAATACAGTATATGATTTTGTTTAATAATATTATATTAGTAGTGATATAAATGCATTAAAAGTGGATATTAAATTTTCCAAACAAAAAATAAAACACTATTAAAATCAATGGAAAGTTAGTTAACATTTGCTTTTTGGAAAAAATACTGTTGACTAAAAGCAAATAAAAAAATATATTTATAATTAATTTAATGTAAAATGATATGCAAAAATAAATGAAAATACTTTATAAAAATACAATATATTATTTGTTGCTTAATTACAACTGAAAGCTGAATTATAAGCAATTTATTAATTAAATGTTGTATTAGACAATTTATAAATTAATTAAATGATTTTTATTACTGATAATTATTAATGTATGTATTTGCATATGTGTTGTTACTATTATTATTAATAGTCAATGTTTGGTCAGCCAGTCGTCTAAATAGATACACATATGCTTGTAATGCAATATCATGTTAAAGAGGAACCCTAACATACATAAGCGCATGATATAACCATTTAATGATCGCACCGGGAGAATAGGAAATTATACACATATGTACACAATGACTATTTAGTTTTATAGACTAATTAATTAGATAATTTAAATGCATATTTGTTTGAGTGCTGAGTAATATGTAATGGACTGTTGTTATGAACAAACAGCTGGCAAAATATGATACAAAACTGTTTGTTTCGTAAAACAAACTGATTTTTTTGACAACTGCTACCAGAAAAAAGACATTAAATTTGTTGGTGTGATTAGTCTTTAATTTGTTTATAGATGCGCTCACACACACAGTAATTTCAAGTCTTATTTATACAGTATATAAATTTTATATATATCTTAGAGAGAGAGAGAGAGAGAGAGAGAGAGAGAGAGAGAGAGAGAGAGAGAGAGAGAGAGAGAGAGCTAAGTCATCAAACAAAATAAAAGAGAAAGAATAAATAGCAAGAAATGATAGTCACCTGTAAAATGATAGGATGTGCTTAACTATGAAATAAAAAAAAGTTAGGCAATTGTGATATGCATTAGTAGTGCTAACCGTCTAAATGAGCTACACTTTTGCATCTCCTAATAGACATATAGACACACATGTATATGATATAACAATTTGATGCAACCGTGCACTCGAAGCAAACATTAATGTATATAATATATATAAAAAGTCTCTTACATTAAATGTAACGCTTTGGGGCAATAAATCATTGCATTTTGCATTCAAATTGTCGACTCTTTTTTTAAAGGGCCCGCCGGGCAATGCTATACAAAAGTCACGGCGCCGGCCATCCATTCCATACTAATAATCAATTGTCGCCATATTATGGGTGAAGATATAGCATACCTGTGCGCACACATACTAATACATGAAAGCGGGTGACAACTCTTAATTAAAATCACATTCTCATTGAATATTTGCATAATATGTATATAATATTATACCTGTATTTTGTTTGTAGCCAAACGTCGGCTCATATTATTCAATATAATATACTATTATATATACAGGTATAAAATATCTATAATATAATATATTATATATAAATATATTATTGTCTCTATGTATACAAACATCAGATATGCTTAATATATATTTTTCATTATTATGCTAACATATGTTTACGCAATGTTTAATAAGATTTGTTGAACTATTGGCCTCAACATTGCGTGTCATAATTTTTGGACTTTTAATTAAAATGATTGACAAATTACTTGTTACTTGAGTGTGGAGTGTTAGGTATCGACACTCCAAAAACATTAATGCCATATAAAAAAAGATTAGATAATTTGCTAATAAATTGAGAAATTGATTGAGAATTTTATTGTACAATGAATTACATTATAAAATATTTTGTCTGTTTGTAGATTGAGAGAGACTAGAGGTATGATGAGAGTCGGCACAGGTATGACTATATCTTTTCAAATGCTTTGGTACATACAGTATATAAATATAAGTTTTATATTTCATTAAGTAGTTTATAGCAAAGTTTTTAATACAATCAAACAAGTAATGTGTATTTGAATGATAATAACAACAATACGATTGTATGTTAGGGTATATATTAGTGATTACGAGAAGAGGGGAAGTCAACAGAATTTGATTGACGAATGACTTTATGGCGAGAAATAGTTATATAAAAGTCTACTTGTGCTGCACCCATACCTGTGCTGATCAGTCAGGCTCTGACTTTAATATTGCCATAACATATCATAGATTAGTCTAAATAATAGTGATGTGAAAAATCTAACTTTTGAGCTCATTATAAAAAACTATATGTTGTTATTATTATGAATTATAATTATAATCAACAAAAATATTATATAATATATTAAATGCAAGTTTTCAACTCAAAGATCTTAAACAATTCAAAAGTCTATGAATTGGTGAACAGTATTAACACAACATAACAT